ATACCCACTAACTGTGCTGTGTTCAACCCTGAAAATCAGTTATTGTTACTGGTGTTACAGTGGTCATTAAGGAGTGAGACCAGTATTTTTCCACTAGAATGAAATGACGTTTGTTTAACGATGTGAGGCCCATAATAATGGCAGTAGAATTATAAAATAGGAATTTGCAATGTGTTGAGAAGATGTACAGTCTACTGCGAATTGTTATAAAGCATCATTGATAGGTATTACTGAAATGGATGTAATGAGAGAAATTTCAGTTATTACAGGAAGACATATTCATTAACTGATGGGTTCTGAAGGTCATGTAGTTAATCTGCATGCAAATAATCGAGAATCTACTTTATTGGAAAACTTACAGCCAAATCTTCAATTTTAATAAAGTACTCATATGCATCTGGATAATGACATTGTTTATTCTAGTAGGCATGCACCAATATTTTGGTGGATACCTACCAGTCTGTACTGTGTCATAACCCAAAATACTGTAACATGAATTTGTAATACATGGTTACCCTCAATCAAATTTTCTAACTGATAGGTTAACTATACCAAGTACCTTACTACATTGATTTACATCTGTCAGTCTGTCTATGGCTGTCTTGCCCCAAGTTGGACCTTGTCCTTTTTTCAGTTTCTTAATCTTATACACAGTCGTAGGACTCCTTGGATGGTGCATAACCTGTCTCATGGCCTCTACCTACACACAGAACAACACAATACAGAATAAGGGTACACAGACATCCATGCCTCGAGTGGAATTGAAACCCATGACCCCAGTGTTCAAGCGGGCGAAGACAGTTCATGCCTTATACAGCACAGCGACTGTGATTGGCATTGATTTACAAAGTTTCAGTTAATGTGAATCTAAAGTAACATAATGTTAGGTACTTGGTCTACTTTTTATCACTTCTTTCTGGCAGTCAATTTCATTACATTATGTGCAGATTTTTTTAACTTTGAGTGTCTGCCACTGTGGTTGGTGCACGCTGCATGCATTTTCATAGTTTTCATGATGCTTACATAGGATCGGTTCTTGCAGCGGACTTTATTAACACAATAGTGAACCTCTCAGTCCCATAAAAGTGAAACTTCTTGACAAAATGAGTGACTATGAGCTTTTCAAGAAAACTGCACCATGGAGTTTGTTGAGTTTTCTCTTTTTTTGGTGAAGGCACTAGTCTAAAATTGGTAGATATAATATTGGGTTGTTGTTTGGGTTGTGTGATGATCTAATTTCCAGGTTATTTTTTTAACCAGGTATTATTTCAGTGAACACAAACTTATTTTTTAATAAATAATATTTTATTAGTATGTCACGTGTTTTGGTGTATGGTAACCATCCTTGAACCTTAAATACCAAATATATAATTAGACATAAACAGTAAAATGTGTCTTTCGCTTATAGTCTCTAAGACTTCTTCCATTTAATTTTCTAAAAACTGTAAAATTAAACTTAGAAATACAAGTATCAGCTGGAAAGTTTCAGTAGCCATTTTGTTCATCTTGAAACAAAGCCTTAGGTTGGCTCTTTGCACCTTCACTATGGACGGTCACAACAATCTGCATGGTACAAAATCTTAAACACGACTGAGCATGAACAACAAGAGACCTTGTACAGGGAACATGATTGGAGAGTCAGCTTATACTGACATTATGAAACATGTTCCTGTGTTCTCTTAAATGTACGTAACGGACTTGGTCCCGAAAATTAATTTGTCAAACTAACAGCTTCTGTAAAATGAAATTCAGTATTTGTCACAGTCATGTAGCATACAAAAACATATTTTGTGATTTGAATTTTGTATTTAATGCCTGACATTGGTGTACCATACGTTAAAATAGGTAGCCTATTAATTAAAAACTGTTTATGTTCATTGAAATTGTACTCTGGTATACAGCAGGATGGCACAACGCATGATTGTATTTTTTTTTATTTTTAATAAGTACATTTACCTTTCATTCCATTCTACCCTGTTCTTGCAACTGGATGCATTGATTTGAATGATTACATCATTGGTGGAAACATTTGTGGGAGGCATGTATTTTAAACTTGGCATTTGCGACCCATAATCTGAAATTATAATGGTGTCAGATCTCCTTTCTTTCACTAGTAACTTGTGTTTCTGAAAAATAATGAGAAATTGTAGGTCTCCCTGTAGTTTTTCGCGAAGATCCTAACACACATTATAATCCTGCTGTGGGAATGAGGATGCATCATTGTCAGGAATGCACACTGTTATGTTTTTAGAAAGTTACAAGATTTTGTTCATACTTACGTATTCATGTACCAGTAGGAAATTCAAACATACTTAGCACACAACTTTTCTTCTGTAAGGTTGCCTGCACAAGGTATGATGTACCGTGGTTCTTAGGGTAGGGAGCCTTGGTTCTGCTTTCTGCATGAGCAGTTGAAGCACAAATTCTGCATCTGTCTTCCGCATGTTCACATATTGTGTCATTACTTTTTGGAATGCACGGTTGGTATAGTGACTGGCTATAGGCTGGATGACAGGTTAGAGTCTAGGTTCCACTAGGACCAAGAATTTTCTCCACATTGCCCAGACTTGCTCTGGGACTCACCCAGCCTTCTNCAAGGTATGATGTACCGTGGTTCTTAGGGTAGGGAGCCTTGGTTCTACTTTCTGCATGAGCAGTTGAAGCACAAATTCTGCATCTGTCTTCCGCATGTTCACATATTGTGTCATTACTTTTTGGAATGCACGGTTGGTATAGTGACTGGCTATAGGCTGGATGACAGGTTAGAGTCTAGGTTCCACTAGGACCAAGAATTTTCTCCACATTGCCCAGACTTGCTCTGGGACTCACCCAGCCTTCTATCCAGTTTGTACCAGGGGCTCTTTCCCCTGGGTGTAAAGCAGCCGGGGTGTGAACCTGACCACTCACCTCCAACTAGTGCTGAGGCCAAGAAAACGTGGGTCCATACATCCACTCCCTCCATATGCCTAAATGGCACAGTGCTTAATTAGTTAAGCCCAGGGACAACTTTACCTTACCTTTTTGAATGATATGAACAAGATTCCCACCTCATTAGCCAAGTCATAAGAAGTGATGTTTCTATTTTTGTGAATAAGTACTTTGATTCACACCATATTTTCATCTACTTTGCTTGTGGATGGACATCCTGAACAATCAAACTAACTAACTCCATGGAGCTAAGTCCTTCTTGACAAGCTGCGAGTTACACAGCTACTGAAGAATTTTCCAGCATTTTATGGAACCCAAAATTTCATTTCCATGTTCACCATGACCCTCCCCTGGCCCCTATTCTGAGCCAGATCAATCCAGAACATACACCATCCTATTTCTCTAAGATTCATGTGATACTTTGCCATTTCCCCTGCTCTATATAGACCCCTTTCATTCCATATGGCAGATCTTTCATGCCTATTTTCCTTTGCTTATGCCATTCCAAAGAACCTCTCTAAGTCTGAGGCCCTGTATGACATTTCATAATGGGCAGTTATCTTCATGTCCACATCCCAAGCTGGTGGACCTCTCCTTGTCAGCTGTTTGTGACTGGTTAATCAATATTGTCATGACTTAGGAGTGTGCCTTTAGATAGGGTATGGATTGGTGAATGGATTTATTGACCCAGCTCGCAACTACAAGTAATTACAGTGCTATCTCTGATCTACACACTTACAAATCACTAGCACACTAAGTCTTATTAGTTTGCTTTCACTAGTTGTTTCTAGGTAACATATCTTAACAATGAAGATCCTCTAGCCTCTGTATGTGTCATTCGTCGTTACTGTCTGGCGAATATCCCGCAACTGGAGTCACTTAGCCAGCCAAGTCAGTCAGTCAGTAAGTCTTTGGGGCTCATGACCAGATGTTTATTACTGTTTGCCAGTTATGGTCTTCTTTTTGTGGGGCGCCCTCTCTGATGAGAGGGTGGGTCTGTCTTTTATATATGCTGTTGGCCCTTGCCAATGCAGTTTTTCTCGAGTCCAACTTGTGACCATATATTACTGTCTCAGATTTGAGACTTCCCTTTTCATTGCCTCCTATGATTTGCAGGGTCACGGTGGAGGTATTTTCCCCCGCCTCCACACGGGAGAACTAACTATAGCCGGCCAAACAGCTGGGGATCCTTGCTATATAGTCTCGGGGTGGACCCAACAGAAAACACTGCCTCCAACAGCCCCTCTATTGTCATTATGGGTCGTTGCCTAGTGATAGCTTGGATATCATTGATGTGTTTACCAGCAATTACCAAGCAATGCATGTTCCTTCTTACGATTGTTGGATAGCAACAGTACTACAAGCTGCAGCATATTTCCATCTACCCTTTGTATCTGGAGCTGGGCTCATCTGTCTGCAACCCGAGACATTCCATGCTGTGGTCAGAAGGGGACCTTCCTACTTCAGCATTATTAACTGATGTCACTCAGCTTTTGAAGTTGGTAAAAGCATCCAAATTCTGCTCTTTGTTTCCAATTTGAAAGCAGTTTTTAACATCCGTATGTCTCTGCAGTACTTTCACATAGTTCAAAGCAGAACTTGATGCACGTGTACTGTTCCTTGAAATCTGGTATTTTGTGAAAAAGAGGCAAATTGCACAGGCACAACACACACAACTCATTTTACAAGGTGTTACTTCTGAGTGATGCAAGCTACAATTCTGAAATGATTACCAAATGACTTAAGAAATTCTACTCTATCCCCACCCAGATGTGGAATTTTGTGCAGGTGCCAGGACATATTGTGGCTAGTCCGGACACTGGTTGAACACACCGTGTATATTGCGCTGTATGGAACTGTAGTTATTTTATAAAATGGTTTACCTTATGATATTCTAGGAGTGTTCTTGTGTTTGCCATAAACGTGAGTGAAGAATAATTTTCTTCAGAAGAAACAAGTACAGTGAAGTTGCAGTTTCATTTCTTGTATCAGAAATTTCATGATTTGATGTGCTTATTTTGAGTTTGTTTTTATATTACTATATATTTGTGTGCCAATCCTTCTCATATTAGGTTGGCTCAGTGATTTGATCTGTTCGGAAATATTGATATCGCAGCAGTCGTGGTGCTCTGCAAGGTTCAGAAGGATTAACTGAGGGAGAAGGAGTAGCATTTCTCATTCTGAACTGGAGATTGAGGAATCATTTTGAAGATACACTACTTTACTGGTTAGTACACGTCTGTATTGGGAAAGGTAATTATTTTTTTGTGTAACTGATGGCAGTTTAATAAATATGTTAAACTGGTTATTGAGATCTAAAATTCAGGTATGAAACATAATGTTTTTATTTCATGTATGGCTTATTTATTTTGTGCAAAACATTAGTTTATGATTGCATTTTTATATTTTTAATTTTTAACCCCTGTGACATTGTATCCTTACAAGGTTGCTCTTTTCCTGTTCATTTGCAATGATCTAGATATGGTGAAATAATGGTAATGTTCAGAAGATTTTGAAATTAAGTTGGCTACTGAGCTCATAACTTCAAGACACAAGAAGAAATACAATGAAGATATCACTATGAATATTGTCTTTTTCTAATTCTGTTTTCAGAATATTTGGTGGGGTCATCCAACATGTTTGTTTTCCGTGTAATTGTAGTTTTCCATAGTTACCATTTGTTGTGTGGGTAGACATCATTGATTATGCCTGCAGATAAGTAAAGAAAAGCAGATGTATGATCTTGTATTCAGTTGTAGCAATTTTCATTGCGTTGCCTGTCAGAATGGCTTCTCAAACTCTGTGCTAATGTGGTGGCCTAAAATAACAACATACATTTGTGCTCCTCCCCGCAATTAGAGATGTGTTAGGATTAATGACACCAAAATCAGTCATATGTACCTTTATTGGTGTCATGTCTACTGCAGCAATATTCTCCAAGTTTTATGGGCTTACTTGACCTGCCAGAACTGTGCATTGATACAGTTATATTTTAAATTATTGTTGAGAATTTGGCAACCTCCAGGGAATGTGGTGCTCTCAAGCTTGGGAAACCTCTCTCAGTTTGGGAAACCATGAATTACAGCATTGTAACATTTTCCAAGACATAGTGATGGAACTGTCTCTAGGAAGTAAGATACTTGCCAACATTGCTGACTTTCCAAAGCTCAGAGCTTCAGTGATCCCTAGAGTCGTTTCTGCATCGATTCAGAGTAGTATGTTTGGTGATGTTTGCTTTTGATCTATAAAATGGTATTCATTTCGTTTTATTCATAATTGTTGCATGAATTTTCCTCGTGTCACATGCGTGTGCTGTAAATTAAGAGTAATTTCTTTTAACAGACTATCTACAAATTATGTTTCCAAATGGTTTGGCTTTTGTTATATAATGGATAATATGTACCCTTCAATGAAATTAAACACATTTCAGAATCATTGAAACGCTGGTGATGTTACACTTATGTGTACATGCCTGCATGGATGTGTGTACACACATATGCGCATTATAAATCAGATGCATTTTTGGTTCCAGATAACAGTCACTGGGTCCTTGACTACTCTTCTTTAGCATCTGTTTTACGTGTCCTTGTTATCTCATCTGTCCATATTAGCTGCTTGTGGGAAACCATGTAAAGTGGTCTTGCCTGAGCTAGTGACGGTGTTCTTTTTTGCTGCAGCCTGGCATTATTGTAGCAGCCCAGTAAATGCGAACCGGCTGGCCAGTGAAGCTTGTGCCGCAGCTGGCTGGCCTGATGAGCACTGGCAATCGCTGACAGTCGGCTGCTACAAGACTCGCTGTTGTGGTGTTGTCTTGATGCAGGTGTAGTTGTGACTGATACGACTGATGCTAGTGTGTCGCAGGCTGCATCTTTAAGCTGATAACCCACCGACATGACTAGTTGCGAGTGACTAGCTGTGTCAGAGGGTTATCAGCCTGAACCGCAGTTGAATAATTGGCCACGAGCGACTCAGCAGCCACACTGTGTTAGTGGATTATGCACCATATACACTAATACAACTAATGGACATGCGCGACAGAGTGGCTAGCTGCTCACGACTAGTTGCGTCAATGGGCTCTCAGCCTTATACTTATGACACTAGGTGGCACACTAACTAATGGGCATTAGAGATGGCATAGTGAGTGCTGATTCAGTAGCACTCGTTTAACTGTGGGAGATTCCCACATGCCAACCAGTCTTCACAAATCTGCCTCTGCTAAGATATGTCTAATTTGTATGGTAGTGATGAAATGTATTTCAGAGGCTTCTTAACCCATTTCCTAACCTCTGCCAGAAGGCTTTTGCCATCACCTTAATGAGTTTATCAGTTATGATCACATGGTGAGTGTTATGTTTGACTCTTTACATTCCTTGACAGCTGTTCTAATAGTTCCTATATATACAACAGGTGGCAGAACTTTCATATTTCATAAGACTGTTTGCTTATCCATGGCATACACTCCCCAAAGGAACCTGGTACCATAGCAACACTGAAAGGGTTAAAACCATTTATATTTCTGTTTTGTGGGCTCAATCTAGCAACTGGAGAAGGGTTAGGTTGTCCAAAAATTTAAGACAAACTTGAATGTCACACTAAAATCTTGGGCAGTCAGCCTTGTCATTGGACCCAGCTGATCATCTGAGAATATTTTAGTGCATTTATTTACTGTGAAAGCTTCAAATCTTACATATCCTCCATGTTATAGATTATCATATTTAAGTTTATAATTTTGAGTAGGATATCAGTGTTTGGGTAGACAACCTAGGGAAGAGAAGAGCAGAGTTCTCATCTAACGGAACTGAAGTCATAAACAGCATGGCATTGTGCAGCTGCACCATTTTGCCCACTTTTTAAAAAAATATGTGTTTGTACACTGCGCAAAATGAATGCATTTCGGTGACTGGAGACACTCTTCACCAAAAGTTGTGCAGCAGAACTGTCCACTCACTTCCTTTGATTGATTTAATTCAAGATTCAGGTTTCCAAGATGTAAGTCTGGGATAGTCAGTGAATTAGTTTCTTATTCTTACAGTAGAGCCATAATTTATTTTTAGCAGTTGGTTGGAGTACTGATTTGGTGGTTGGATCTTACAGGAATAAATGTAATTTGAGAGATTATAACTGGACAGAATGCAGGCTTGGAATCAGTGGAGTAACCAGGCTACGGCAGCAGCAGCGGCGGCGGCGGCAGGCTTCACTGCAGCAGGGTACCCATCCACTGCAGCTGCAGCCCCTCCAGCAGCAGCTGCGGCAGCCCCACAAACAGCATATCCAATTGGCTATCAGTATTATGGAGCTGGACCAGGAATTGCATCTGCTACTCCAGTGAGTTGCCTTCTGTAATGCAGCACTATAAAGCTTCACAATACTTTGTTCATATCAAATTTACGGCAGTGACTACAAGAGTCTGATGCCAGTGTTGCAAGGGAATTTGGGTTTTTGTGCTGTTTCTCTAGAACAAGAGATTATAAATGTGTAATAAGAAAATTATGCCAGTACATCATTCACATACTCAGAAATTGTCAAAATTCGTTTGTCAGTTAAGAGGACAAATGTGCTCTTGTTTTTTATGCATTAAATAAGGCCATTCAGAAACTGAAGTTTTACTAATTGCTCACTTCCTATCAGCATTTTGTAAATTTCAGTGGCATGTCACTTCAGTTTCATTAAGAATGTAAACATTATTGTTTATTACATTTCTCAGAAACAAGTAATCAAAACACTGTAGCAGTAAAATACTTACAGAGAACTTGTAATAAGCTGTGTCACATACTCACATGACCATATTCTGGTTAGCTGACCAGTGTATTCTATTACTGCACAAAAACGTCATTCCAGGTATTTTTCAGACTTCATGTTTCTCTGTGTGCATATGCATACTGTCATGTGGTAAATGTGACTGCAGATGAGGTTTGGATTGGTAATTGGATTTATTGGACACACCCTTGTAACTACAAATAACTATGACAGTCTCTCTGAGTTACACACTCCAGAGATCACTGTAACTATAGCACTTAAAAGTCTTCTCAGTCTTCATTAGCCATTGCTTGGTAGTGACTTCCAATGGTGGACATTCCCCATCCTCTGGATTCTTGAACTGTCCTCAGCCTCAGCTACCAGCTTCTCACAACTGCAACTCTCTTCCGTTATTGCGTGTTCTCTCATTGCCAGGCAAACAACATGTCCTCACATCTCTTGCCTAACAACAGCTGTTGTACTGTGCCTATTTACACAGCTCTTACTTGGCAGTGTCACAGTAATTTACAGTGAACTGCTCACAGTTTTGATGATCTTAATATTTATGTTTTTTTAAGGCCCATAAAGAATTGTCCTTTGCCCACTTTAATGATTTTAATGAATAAAGGTATGAATGTTGTCTTTTGCCAGGATATGGCTGGCTACACGCAGCAGCAGTGGAATGTAGTTCAGCAACAACATTGGCAACAGTGGCAGCAGTGGCAACAGCAGTTCCAGCAGTGGCAGCAGCAGTATGGTGACAAGGTAAAGAAGTAAATGTTGAATAGGCAGTTGNGTCTCTTTGCTTGCAGATTCTTATATATTTTTTCTTCTACCCTGAAGATGGAGGCGATACGTTCCTCCGAAACGTCGGTTAACACCACATATACACGGTGCCAAATCCCAGAAGACTGCTTTCTTCATAGTCACCGCCGTGAAAGCCTCAAATCTTACAGGGTAGTCTGGTTGGTTCTTGTGAATGCAGCAGTGAGCACTTGGGCTCCATAAAAGACAGGAAATTTCTCCAGCTGTGGTGTTATTTTAAGGGTTTCTAGAAAGAATCTGTTTATTGAGTTGTAAATATTGTCATGTGATTTAGTATGTCTATAGAAAGGGTTTGGATTGATAATCACAGTTATTGAACACTTACAGATCATAATTGGAGGCACACAGTAGTGTAGTTGGTTGATTCTTGTATGTCATAATGAATAATTTCCACTATGCTGTTGTGTTTTATTAGATTTTGAATCAACCAGAGTGGCTTAAGCAGTAATGGTTTTGACTTCCATCCAGAACTGACTGAGGGTTTTCACAGTCTTCATTAGTCCTTCCAGGCAAATGCCAGGATAGTGCCTTAGTTTGGACATCATTGTTTTTTCCACATCCTTTCAAAATCATTATTCAGTAGTCATCCTCAGCTATTGACACCATCATTAAATAAACCATAAATAAATCATCATTGGCAAAAGAGCCCTTTTCGTGTCTGAAAGTTTATTACCATGTTCATGAGAGTCCACCACTTGTCTCTATCCTGAGCCAGATCAATCCAGCCCATACCTCCCCATTCTGTCTCCATTTTAATATTTTCCACCCACCTATGTCTTGGTCTTTCTAGTGGTCTCTTTCATTCTGGCTTTTCACCAATATCCTATATGCATTTCCTGTATGCATTCCTTTTTTATCCAATTAGTGCTATATTTTCTGTTCATCATATTCCTTTAATTGATCATTCTAATTATACTTGGAGAGGAATACAAGTTATGAAGCTCCTCATTATGCAGTTTTCTTCAACCTCCTGTCACTTCAGCTCTCTTTGGTCCAGATATTCTCCTCAGCACCCTGTTCTCAAACACCCTCAGTCTGTGTTCCTCCCTTAATATCAGAGACCACGTTTCATACCCATACAGAAACACAGGCATAATTATAGTTTTATATTGTGACGCATTACCTTACGTCCATCACCGCGACAACCACTACAGTCGGAACGGACACTTCCACAACAACGAATACGAGGAAATTGTGGAATTCCCGCAGTGACAAATCGAGTAACAACAGATGAGATGAAACATGTTACCAGTGTATAAGGAGCGTTCCCGAAGCAACGGATTGCCAAACACATGAGATCGAACCTTGGCGAGGGGTATCCTCTATTGAGTCCACATAACCCCTATATAAGCAGATCTAATGACACGTATTAAAAGATTGATTATTAGAATTGAGTATTGAGACAGGAGCCAAGTGATACTACAACTGATAATAATTGTAAAGAGTGTAAGAGTGATTATCCAATAAAGATTCGCAAAATCCGAGATCCACATATAGTTATTTGTCGCATGACACACCCAACACGTGACAATATATTCTGATTTTTACATTTTTAGACAGCAGATGAGAAGACAAAAGGTTCTGGACTGAATGATAGCAAGCATTGCCCAAATTCATTCTCCTCTTAATTTCCTTCTGGATAAAATTTTGGTTTGTAACTGTCATTCCCAAATATTTGAACTGTACCACATTTTGAAAGGATCTGTTAGCTTTTATTTCACGATACTGCCCTGCATTCTGTTGATGAGCCATCAGCATATGCTTACACATCCTTGTGAGCATCAAATGAAGTTTCTGTTTTTTGTGTATCGGTGTTATCTCCCAACAGATTGACATCATCAGCATAGACTTGCAGCTGATGTGTCCCATTTAATTTCAGCCCCACCTGGTTTTCCTGGACCTTCCTAATGGCATATTCTAAAGCGGAGTTGAAAAGCAGTGGCGATAAAGCATCTCCTTGTCTTAGACCATTCTGGATAGGAAACTTAACAGACAAATGTTTANATAACAGTGATATCCCACGATACTTACTGCAGTCAGTTTTATTGCCCTTCATTTTGTTTTACATTGAACTTAATTAAAAATTAAAATTAATCTTAATATATTTTAAGCTTGCATGTGAACTACACCTGGTGTTAATACTATAAATGATGCACATGACCTTCCTCCCTAAAAGTTGTTAGCAGTGGCCAGTGTAGTGGAATAATAGTAGTAAAATAGTAGGTTGTCAGTGTTTAATGATTTACCTGTTGATGAGCATAAATGGCCAAAAGATGTGTAAAGTAAAAACAGCACACATTTATTTAATTTATTCAGGGATTATGAAGACAACCTATAGTAAATAGTTCTCACACAATACAACACTGAAACACAATATTAGTAATTCAGATTTCTTAGTTTTTACATGGTTGGTGAGTACCAGAAATTTCATTCCTGCCTTAAATTTGCCTTCATGTCATTGTGAAGTTCATTGGTGCTCTTCGATTTTCTTGTCATTTATGATAAAGTAAAAAAGTAACGCTATCCATGTAACAGGCCATAAAGACCCATAGGGCTGTGAGACATTGAGGGTCCCACATTTTCTAGACAGTCGGCTCAAAGATGGCAGTAAGGTTGTCAGCCTTACGCACCTGCTGTGCTTAACTTCCCAAGAAAATTATTTAATTAATTCCTGGTACTCATTTCTGTTAGAAGCTGAGTTGATCCCAGGGCCATAGTGTGGCTGGACGGATTAGGTCAATTGAAAAAAATTAAATGACCTCATCGGGACTTGAACTTGCGACCTTCCGGCTTGTAGCATAGCCCCTCAACCAACTACACTGCCACGTGTCCCCTTTCATTTATGATATTCAGCTTAATGTTTTATGTGTATGTATGTATTTATTGTGTAGCAGTTCAGGCCCTTATTTTAATGTTTATGTTCTTTTGCCAACATTCTATTATATATCTTTTACTATCAGGATTTTTTCCTTTGCAGTATCAGGAATCGTTAAATTCTATGGCTCTTCAGGGCGGTGCATCAGTGGGACCTGCTGTAGATATGGCGCACCCACCTCCTTTGCCTCCACCAGATAAATCTGTTCCTCCACCCCCACCAGAAGAAGCTGATCCTCAATCAGACATATACAGGTAATAACATTTTCACTAGCTGTGGTACAGTGTACTGTGTTTGGTTATGTGTTCAGTGTGGTTTGTTTTATTCTATTGGTGATACTTTTCTGATAACATATTCTCAAATTGGACTTGAAAGTTAATTGTTTTTAATTGTGCCAAGTAGAACCTTTCCATAGTGTGCATGGTGTTTTGGAAGTATAGTTAAAAAGCAAAATATAGTCTCATAAGGCAAATTACATTGTTGATAAAAATGTTGTTTAATTCAATGTGTATATATGGTTTCTAAAAATTTAAGAGTTCCAAGTGAAAAAGGATATTGGTATCAGGAGGGGAAAATTTTACTTCCTGAAACACTATAAGCATAGATAATACATGCTCCATTTCAGCCGGTGTAAAAATTGTCATTTGGCAGTGTTCAGTCTCATGTAAGATATTGTAGATGTAATAGCTTTCAGGTGCCATGTTGTCTTCTTCATATTTACAGGGTGTGCTTATGAAAGGTATCAAAATAAAATAATTATATCTCAGAAAACATTTACTCTGCACATTTATAGGTTACACCATTACAAAGGGGAACTGTTAAGGTTTTTTTTTTCTGCTTGTGTAACTTTCACAATAAATTTCAATGTGGGCTTCCTTGGTGGCATGAAAAATATCCAGATGATATTTGACCTCATTCCATGTTGCTTAAAGCATGTTTGGTGTTAGCATAGCCACAGCTCCCCTTATGTTGGCTTTCAGGAGTTGAAGGTCATTGATCTTAACCTGGTAGACAATGTTCTTCACATAACCCCACAAGAAGAAATCCAGTGGCGTTATATATGGGGACCTAGGAGGTCAAGCGATTGGTCCACCTCTGCCGATCCATCTCCCAGCCATCTCTCAGTCCGGGTGTTTCCTAGCATGGTGGGAGAAATGTAGCGTCATCCCATCTTGTTGGAGGATAGTTTGAGGTGGTAACTGGGGCAGTGCAAACAGCTGCAGCATGTCCAAGTACAAATGTCCGGTCATAGTCTTTTCCAAAAAGAAAAGCGTTACAACCAACATGTCCTGCATTAAGCTGGGCCAACATTCATTTTGGCGCTGCCTCTCTCCAACCCACATGTGACATGTGGATTTTGGCCGCCACAGATCCTGCAGTTGTACCCATTTACAACTCCATTGGCATGGGACTTCACCTCATCTGAGAAGCATGCTTGGTGGAGGAAATCAGGTGACACATCAGTTCTTTCCAGCATGTTCACAGCAAAGTTTGTGCATGCTACATGGTCACCCTGGTTTAGTTCATGAATCATTTGAGTCTTATACGCTCTTAGGTGGAGCCTTTTGTGTAGCGCATCTTGCAGTGTTGAACGTGGAATTTGTAACTGCAAGCTAGGAGCAAGAATTGATTGCACGGACTTCGCTGGAATGCCTCTCTAATGTGATTGACATTTTCTTCAGAGGCCTGTGTCTTTCCAGGAGGTTTTTCATGCAGCAGACTCCCTGTAGTCCTCAGTTTGTTGTCCCAGAACCAAATGCTTTTCTGTATAGGAGGTTGACATCCATATTGCGTTCTAAAATGATACCGGACAGCTTTAAGAGATTGCAACTTTGCTAGCCACTACACGCATTGAACCTGTTCCTCTGGTGTTGACATCGTTACTGAGTTTGCCGAAGGTTACCAGCTGGGCATGAAAGAATCAGAGTTTTCCTTTCCAATGGCATGAATGGGATATATGTGTATGACAATTAGTTTCCAAGATACAGATGTTTTATTTTGGGTACCCTTTATCTGGACAGCCTGTACATAGCTATATGGACATTCTATGTATCAGAATATTAGATCAGATATCAGCATTTAGATCTGGATCTATACATCCACTCCCCAATATGCCTTCATGGCGTACTGCTTAATTAGTTAAGCACAGGGAGAACTTTACTTTTTTACCTTTATCAGCATTTAGAATCAAGGATCAAGTTATGTTTGATTATGTAAATATTTTATACGTCTTGCATCCATAATTTTAAGATACAAGGAGGTTCGAATATGACCGGGACTGATGTGTGTAAACAAGCTGCACTGCGCAGCAACTGTGCGCCCTTGAGAGTGAAGTCACAACCTCCACCCTCCTTCCCGTTAGGGTTAGAACCTGTTCAGTCCTGTCTGGGAGTTGCTAGAGTGATGAGCGAACAGAAGGTACCGCAGAGCGTGGAACAACGCATTGTGATCAAATTCCTTGTTGGAGAAAACATCCCATCCGCTGAAATTCACCACAGACTCCAACAGTATGGGGAAGAGAGTCTCTCATGGACCCATGTGTTTGAGTGTTGTAAGTGCTTCAGAGAGGGCAGAGAGTGCGTGGAGGATGAACCGCATGATTGTCGGCCGTGAACATCCGTCACCGAGCCAAACATTGATCGTGCAGATGCACTTATTCGTGAGAATAAGCGCATCACTATCAAGGAAGTTAGTGCAATGCTGCCCATCAGTGTTGGTAGTGTAGAAGACATTGTGAAATACCACCTGCACTATCGCAAGGTGAATGCACGGTGGTTACCACGCACTTTGACGGATGTGAACAAAATTGTGCGCATGCAAGCTGCCAGTCGTCTCCTACAGCAGTTTGAAGATGAAGGTGATGCATTTTTGAAGTCTAAAGTGACCACCGATGAAACGTGGGTGCACTACTTCATTCCCGAGACCTAGCAGTCATCACGCGAGTGGCGGCATACCAGTTCTCTTAAACCCAAGAAAGTGCGGAGGAGCTGTTCGGCAGGAAAAGTGATGGCAACGTTCTTCTGGGACTGGCAGGGGGTTAGCCATGTAGACTTTCTGACAGATGCCAGAAAAGTCAATGCAGCTTATTACTCAGACCTCCTTGCAACAGACGTGAAAGAAAAGATCCAATCCAAGTGGAAGACACATGGAAAGCAGGTAGCCTTCCTTCAAACTATGCACGCCCCCATATGGCCAAAACAACAATGGAAACCCTCCGGAAACTGAAATGGAACCTTCTGACACATCCGCCATACAGTCCCGATTTGGCCCCAAGTGATTTCTACCTGTTTGGAAAGCTCAAATCAGACTTGCAAGGCATGTGGTTTGTGGACAACGCTGTCATCCAGACTGTTCGGGAGTGGATATGCCTCCAACCACAAGCCTTTTTTGAAAAGGGCATCAGGATGCTTCCAGAACGTTGGAAAAAATGTGTTGACTCCTGAGGGGAGTACGTTGGAGACTGACATGTGCAAGTAAGTGTTTGGCAATTATGTTTTTTTCTTTTTAAATCAGTCCCGGTCATATTTGAACCACCTTGTAGCATCTGTTTTCTCTGATGATACGAAAAATTAATTTTATTTTTATCCAAAAGTGCCGTAGGCTTCTCTCTCCCCCCAATTGGGATGAAGGTGGGAGGGAGTAATAAAAGGTCTATTCAGGTTTACTTTTACTACCAAAACCCTGTTTTTAAAAGTGCTGTTAATGGAAGATGAATGTTGAATTTCTTTTTGCTGGCCCAACGGAAAAGTTGGGATCCTAACTATGGTCTCATTTTCTTTCATATTTTCCTCCTCTTTAATGTTCGTTAATTCTGTAATGAGCTGTAGAAATTGTCCCTTAAAATATATAAATTCTCCATTTCTTCAACACTGAAGTAGAGAAACATAAGTTCTTTGTATGATATGAGGTTCTCACAGCAGTAGTTATGAAGAGTTCTGTCTTCTGGGATGTGATGCTTTCACTTTGCTTGCTGCTTTCTTGCTTCACACACTCTTTATCCCTGAAGATGGAGTTGACATTTTCCTCTGAAATAACTGACTTTCAGCAGACTGCACAGTGTTATATCCCAGAAGATAGAACTCTTCAGTAACCCTTTACCATGAACTTTACCTTAAAGTTGCAAATTTTCAAAATCCCCTTCATGATCAGTACATTGTTATTTGAAATCTTGTGAAATGTATATGTTATGGTTGTGTTGTAAGCTTTTATGGGTTGAAATTTATTTGATTTTAACTTGAACAATCTCCACTTTTTTGTGGTTTGATTATCACAATCTATAATTTCGTTTTATGACTGCTCTGTATGTGACTGAGTTCTATTTTATGTTGTGTATGTTGAAATATTGTGAAATGCATATGTTATGGTGTCACATAAGCTTTTGTGGGTTGTAATTTAATTGATTTTAACTTTAACAATTTCCACTTTTTTGTGTATGTATAATTTCATTTTATGATTGTTCCGTATGTGACTGAGTTCTATTTTATGAACTGTTCTTGTGTATGTTTTGATTTCATTGTGACTTGTTCATCATCCTAGGCTTCGCCAATAAGGATTTATTGAATTTAAACAATAAATGAAAAAAAAAATGAAATTTATACATGACTAATTGGGAGACTTCTAGGTAGAAGCTGGTTTTCTGTTCTGTATAGTACCTCACTATTAAAAGTCTAGGAGTGTTGTATCAAATACCTACTCATCTTCCAGGTGAAAGATCAGTGAGAGAGCCCCTGGCACTGTTTTAAGTTGATCTGATGTGTCTTTTTTTTTTAAGTAACTCCTTTATTGTTTATACAGAATTTGATGTGGTGGAGAGTTTAATGATAAATGATAAATGTTAAATTATGCTGGGATGAAATTCTCATTGCAGTGACTGAAGAGTATATAGTCTTCTAGGTTGTAATGCTGCATAGTTCAGAGAGAACCTAGTAGTTTCGAAGAAACATATAGCCTGTATCATAAGAACTGATGCTAAGTTTGCTCATGCATCTGCTTTTTTCATAGTTAATCTACTTTTTGGCCCTAAACAGGGATGAAATTGTGATGTATGGACCTGTTGTGGGGCAGAGACTTTGAAACAAATGACCACGGCTGTCACTGTGCAATAGGAGAAATCAACCATTTCTAGGCAACGGATTGGTAAACATGCTTGCAACTGTAGAGGAACTGTTGAAAGCGGTGTCATCTGTTGGGTCTGCCTTGATGCTATATAATGAGGACCGCAGTTGGTAGTTGACAGCTGGGATTGAGAGAGTTGAAGGTTGAGGGAACTGACAATAGTTCTGCATGGGTTGCTGTGATGAAGAGGACCTGAGTGTGAAAACTTTAGGTTCAATCCAGGCTACATGGCTTTACAATCAAATAGACTTGCGTTCTTCATGTATTCATTAGTTCATAGAGAGCCTATAATATCAGAGAAACTTATCACCTCCATCTTCAGGGTCAAACAGTAGGCCAAGCAGTAAACAAGCAGAAGCAAGTAGCAAGCTCAAAAAAATGCTTGCTCTTCATTTTCATTTATTTTTGCAGAACATTGGAAAGTTGCCTACCCAGTAAAGTTTGATCCATTCCATGTTTTCAAGGTTTGACCACTGCAAGATGACTGACATTATTGTTTCTGTTCAGAACTTCAGGTGTGACAAATAAAATGCAGGATGGTACTACTGCCAGTATTGCAGACAGTTACAACAACCGTGGCAGCGGAGGAGGTTTCCAGGCTGGGGATCGTGGTGGTATTACTTCTCATCCCATGCCATATTATGGAGTTCCTCCACCGACTAAAGGAACACCACTTCCAAGTGACTTCAACAAACCTCCCCCAGTTCTGAACATTGATGCAGGGTTTGGTAGTAAGGGCAGTACAGGTGATGGCTACCAGTCTTCAAAACGACCTTTTCAAGGACCAGACATGTCTCGAGATCAGTTTCCTGATGACAGTAAGAAATCTCGTGGTGAAGGTTATGGGAGTGGATTTTCTCCTTTAAAAGGAGAGGAACATGGTGGCAGAGGAAGAGGTTCACGGGGAGGCAGATGGGCACCTCCAACTTCCAAGGAGCAAGAACCGTCGTGGAAAATTCCACCTGAAAGAGATTCAACTCCACAGCCTGTGCGAGCCCCTACCAAGGTGTGTAGCCTGTATATTTCATGTCCTTATACAAGTATAATGTGAGCCACTTTGTGAGGGAGGAGGTAATTGTCTTTTACGAGTAAGTCAGTATATGGCTTGGATGGTAATAACTGTCAGGCATATCCAGAAGAAATACACTTGTTACCTATCTGATATATTCGTCACAACATCAACATATAAAATGTATTATGGTTTATGATTTTTGAGTTTTCACAATGAATTTTTTGTTACCATTAGATATAAAACTTGTTCAGAAACAAGGCTTTTGTCAGTGGTAATTTAATTACAGGCGTCCTTCTTGCACATTACTGAATATGATCATAAATTTGTTTAAAACCAATGGGAGCCTCGTTATTTCATGACCCTGTGGGCCTCCATGGCCTTTTACAGGGAAAGCTTTAACTTTACATTGCTTTTTGGGTTTGTTGGTGACAGCATGGCCCATGTTCTTTAAAAGAAAAGCAGAAGAAGAGGAGTTTGCTATAGTGGTTAGGTTTCATTAGACACAGTATTATAATATATTTCAGCATCTTGTTGCATTTATATATCTTTCACACATAATATATTCAGTCCTCATTGCACCTTTCTTCACTTTTATTTCTCCTCCTCATGACATGTTTTGGCCTCAGACTGTCATCATCAGGTATTTTTTCTAAGCCAAAACTGCCACACTGTATAAAATGTATAAAATGTTCACTTATTTACACACGTGAAAATGTGATGTTTCATGTTTAATTTACTAGATGTACACTCGATATTTATTTGCATTGATTATTTTCACTCACTTTCTAATATAACACAAAGAAAGGGCTTATGAATGGAAACAACACATATACACCAAGTGTTATCATTTGTTCCTCTTTGTGTGTTGTTTGCTGCCCCTATGTTGGACAAGTGGAAGCGGTCCCTAATATAGGTGCAGAAATTATATAATTTAAGAAATTTCAAACCAAAATTAAATTAGAAAGTGAGTGAAATTAATCAATGCAAATAAATATTGAGTGTACATAAACTAAATTAAGCAAGAAATTTAACATTTTTACGTGTGTAAATAAGCGAACATTTTCCACGTTTTATACAGTGCGATAGTTTTGGCATAGACAAAACATCTGATGGTGGCTGTTTGAGGCTGAAACATGTCGTAAGAAGGAGAAATAAAAGTGAAAATAGTTGCATTGAGGACCGAATATGTTGTGCATGAAAAACAATATAATAAATGAGATTGTTCAGAAACATGCTGTAACTTAGGCTGATTTCACACTGGACCCATGTGAGCCAGTCATGTCCAGTTGCGTCGGACTCCCGTTGACTCATCTGACTGGCTTCACATAGCAACACAAGGAAATGTCGTAATCTCTTTCACACTGCACGCGTCTTGTCCAGTCCAGTCATGACTGGCAGGACTCATCAGGTTGAATTTCTTGCCAGTCTTCATGCGTCTCGCTTATAAGTCACACACGCTTTAATCAGATTCATTTGTAACATGTTGTAATATGGATGTCAAGAAACTGATAATTCTAGTGAGAAGTAGATGTGAAATATATGACACAAAGGACCCAAATCATCGAAATAAAGACTACGTTGCTAGTGTATGGAGAAGCATAGCAGAAGAATTACAAACAACAGGTACGAACTTTTTATTTATATTATTTCATGTACAAAAACTTATGAACTTGTCCATCTGGCCAGGAGAAAGAATGATCACTGACTGACAAAGATGTATTCAGTATGAAACCTAATGACTGAAACGACGTGACTGGACTGGACTCATTCGGTGCAAAGGGACCCTTAAGTTTATCAACTGTATTTAAAATGTTGCCAGTTATGCATTGTTTTGTTTGCATTGGTTGTACTTTATGTATGAAGGAAGGTGTTTGTTTTATACTACTACAGTTAGTAATTTTGTGGACTGTGGTTTTGTTGCACCATATTACAGGATACTCACACTTACACATATCCACATCCTCCCTCAGTGGAAACGCTGCTGAAAGATATTTGCAGGAAGGTCACATATGGCTTCCCTTGTGGCAATGGCGATATCCTTGGCCGACTGAAATCATCCCCCATGTAGCTTTTCTTTCAAGCAGGGAAAGGAAAAGAAATTGAATGGTGTGAGAGTAGGTGAGTATGGAGGGTGTTGCAGAACGGTGACCTGCTGTTTTGCCAGATTATCATGAACATGCACAGAGTGATATGCAGGGGCATTGTTGTGCAGCAACAGTCGGTTCTTTCTACCCCAAAGCTCGGGACACCTACGACAATTGAATTGTGTAGACGGCAAAGAATCTCCTTGTAACTGTGTTTGTTTACAGTTGCTCCTTCTGGGATGAATTCTATGTGAACAATTCCAGATGAGTCAAAAAACAGTTCAAGCACTACCTTGCCCTTTGAGCTGTCTTGGCGCGGTTTCTTCTTTCTTGGTAATGATGGCGACTTCGAGATGGCTGATTTTCGCTTCATTTGCAGATCATGCAGAAAACACTGTTTTGTCTCCTGTTATTAACTGGTTGAGAAATGACCCAGCTTTATCAGCACTATTGAGCTGGTCACCACCAATACTCATGTGATTGACACGTTGGTCTTGCATCAGGATGTGTGGAACACTGTGCTGGGTAACATGAGACATGTTCAGGTCATCAGACAGTATTCTGTGGCAAGTACCATAGCTAATCCCTGGTGCTGCTGGGATTTCATCTGCCATTTGGGAGTGGTTGGAATGCACCAACTTTGCAACTTCTTGGATCTCGAGTTCTTTTCTGATCATTGTTGGCCGACTGTTATGTTTATCATCTTCTGAACTGTCTCCCCTCTGTGCAAAACATTTATGCCACTTAAACAGTACTACGCCCCAAGGCTTCTTCTCCATACACTTGGTTGATAATCTGAAATATTTCACTAGCAGATTTGCCTAATCTTTTGCAGAACTTGACGTTTCCCTGTTGCTCAAAGTGCAACATTCTCAATTTTCAAAGCTCGCAGACAACTACCCTTCACAACAGCGACGTTCTTTCTGAATACACCAAACACATGCAAGTGTATTTTGCTGGTTCAAGAGAAGAATGGACATAGCACCATCTCATGACTCCACGTATCTGCTGTAGTGCGTGACTGTGCCACTATGCCGCCAATCCACGAAATTATTGACTGTACTATGTATAATATAATCTTTTATTTCACTGATTCTGAACTTGAAAGTTTCTTTTCATGTAGGATAATCCAGATGAATTGTCTGCAGCTGAGAAAAATTTTGACATTCAGTTTAAGCAGTGGGAAGAACAGTTCAACAAATGGAAAGAACAAAATATTGATCATCCTGATAAGGTTAGTTTTCTTGTCTGTTTTAATGCTGTGTTAAAATATCTTATTACAATAAGAAAACATTAAACCTGATGTCCCATTCATTTTTAAATTGTGTAGACTCAGTATCGTGAATATGAGGCCCAGTGGGATAGCTGGCGAGAACATCTCTTGCAGCGCAGAGAGCAGATGAGGAAGAAAAGAGAGGCATCAAATAAATTGGCTGTAAGTATACTTGATGTATTACTGCTAGTCGACAGAGGTAGTATTACTTTGGTAGTCTACAGAGCATGTACAGTAGAATCAGTGCATGACTTATAGCCAAGACTTCCATTAAATGAGGTGTGTTTATGCAAGCTATGATTCACATCTAGTTGTAGCCTTTGACAAACTTTGAACAGCAGTCTGCTTCTGCTCTCTCACTTCTGNCGATACGTTCCTCCGAAACGTCGGTTAACACCACATATACACGGTGCCAAATCCCAGAAGACTGCTTTCTTCTCTCACTTCTCTTTTTTTCCCCCTATTATTCTACATACTTATGCAATTTATACATCTTTATACCGCCAGAAAATCATGTCTTATGGTTTTATGATGTGTAAAATATGAAATACAAATTTCACATATGAGATTGAAGTTAGGAATATTGTTGGCATGTGATAGTGAAAAGGAACTCAGTTTCAATTCTTTTTAGTATAATTTAGAACCATCTTTTTGAACACACTTGTTTAATTGTTATATTTTCCCACATTTGACACACTTTCAGGTCACTACTTATTGCTAATTTCATGTGAAAGGATATGTCTACATCATAATCACATCAGACAGCTTACAGAATATTTGCACAATGTAATAATTCTGGTATTTTCCTTATAGGTAGTGTACAGGTAGTTTTGTTAACTTCTGTTGAAAGCCATTACTTCTAGGAAATGCGTATTGAGCATAGAATGAGAGATTCATTCTTAACTACAGTTCTGGTTTGAAACCGTTCTAATTCTGAAAAATACTTTGTGAGTTATGCACAAGTTATGTGTGTGATGTATGTGGAAGCACTTTTTGGTATTCATGTAGTGTTCACTGTGGACAGATTGTAGTAAAACTCTTTGTTGATTAAATTTTATGAAAATCTGTGTAGTGATTCTGAAGTCATTATGTACAGACTTTTCTGCATGGGCACAACAAGAAATATTGCTTGACCTGTATGATTTTTTTAACCTTGGTGCCATGTAGTAATTATGTAATTAGAAGGTATGCTTTAGGATCATGTATTTTAACCACTTTTTAATATTACAAGCACTTGGTAGGCAAGAGTGTTCCAGAATTTTTTCATTATATAGGGTTGTACTTGCTAACATCAAAGAAGATACAGAACTTTCCACACAAGTATATGGTGACTTACTGTCAGCTTATAAGCAGTAGAACTGCTGTACAACAGAGCCCAATATAGTGAAACAGATGGAAAATTTGACTTCTGATTATGCTTTTGTGTTTGGTTCTGACCAAAAGTTTCGCCTTTCCATCAGAGAATTTTGTATACATTGATATCTTTGTAATGGATTAAAAAAGTAATCTTAAGTAATTGCAGATACAGTGCCGTTTCCCAGATGTCTGAAAATTTGCTAAAGCTTGCCAAGTGCTTCACAACTTTTGGTAATGGTTGTAAACTGAAGTCTTCTTTGATATTGGCTTATCATTGTTTTGTACCCCATTCTTACTGCTAGTACATTGCTTTAGTTGTAATTTGGACTTAAATACCGAAGATGATAGGTATCACAAATGTTTATTCTTAACCTTTAACATACAAATGTTAGATATATCTAACAGCAAGTAACACTCTGCCATGGCTGAATGTTAGGTTTACCTAACCCAGGAGGTGTGCTCTCTTTGGGAGTGTTGACAGTTTGATCTTCTCGTTGAATCCAAAACAAACCCACGCATGGTCAAGCCAGTGGTTCATTTGTTAGCTCTGAACAATGAAATCATTTATCACGGTACTGGTTATGATATTATTTGTTTAGATATGACTATTTAAGACCTGGATAGCCAAATAGAGCACAGCATTGTTTTGAGAACTCCAAAGTAATTTATTCATCTGTGCATGCAGATTACTACTATTTGAGCTTGCAAGGAAGTGGGTCATTTTCAAGGATTGGTTTTCAGTAGCGAATTAACAGTCAGAAAGTCAGTGTCAGATTGTCAATTATTTATTTATAAAACATTTTTATTATGTGTCTCAGTAGAGGTATAAAGCCATTGAAGACAGCAATGCACATATGTGCTTTGTGGAAAAACCTGACAGGGTGGTAAATAGTTACGGAATTGCCTGGAGGACATGGAAATAGAAAAAAAAATGTTTTCCCTCCTCCTAGACATGACTATTCTCAATGCCTATTTATTACACAAGTCATGTGGTGGAAAAATGACATAAGAATTCCACACAGTCTGAGTGCGAGATTTGATTGTACAGTCACATGAGGTGAATATCACAGTCAGTGGTGTTTCTTGGGAGAGGCCAGTTTCATCTTAGGCCCAACTGAGTCGATAAGAGGTGAAACATTCACAACACTGGCCATGCAAAGGGAAACAAAAATGTTGTGTGTGTTCGCTAAACAAGAAAATTAGGAGCATCCTCTTCTACTGTAAAAAGTGTGGTGTTGGTCTGTGAGTCAAGGACTGTCCTGAGAAGCTCAGACGCGCTTCAGAGTGTGAGCACTGAATTGAGTTATCATAAACTGTGAAGTGACACAGTTCATACTCACATACAGTCTGAACAAAAGATCATTGTATATAGTAAAGTAAAAGTAAAAAAAGTAAAGCTATCCCTGTAACAGGCCGTGGAGGCCCATGGGGTTGTGAGAAGTTAAGGCTCTCACATGTTCTAGACAATAGGCTCACAGATGGCAGTGAGGTTTGTCAACCTTATGCGCCAGCTGCCCTTTACCCTGAGGAATATTCCTGGTACTCATTTCTGTTAGAGGCTGAGTCGACCCCATGACCATAGTGTGGCCGGAAAAATTAGATCAATTGAAAATATCCAATGACTTCATCAGATTCGATCCCATGACCTTCCTGTTTGTAGCATAGTGCCTCAACCAACTACGCTACTGCATACCCCCTTATCGAATATAGTGTGATTGTTTTCTGCAAAATCGATATATCTGAAGTTTCAAGAAAAACTACTGGTAAGTCCTTTGGAATTTCGTAATATATATAATGTGAGTAAAAAAGTAAGTAAGTAAAGCTGTCCCTGTAACAGGCCGTTAAGGCCGATAGGGTTGTGAGATGTTGAGGGTCTCACATTATCTAGACCATCGGCTGAAAGATGGTGATAAGGTTGTCAGCCTTATGCGCCGGCTGCGCTTTACACCCCAGGAAAATTATTTAATTAATTCCTGGTACTCATTTCTGTTAGAGGCTGAGTCAACCCCAGGGCCATAGTGCGGCTGGAAGGATTAGGTCAATTGAAAAGAATCCAGTGACCTCATCAGGGCTTGAACCCGCGACATTCTGGCTTTTAGCATAGTGCCTCAACCAACTACGTTACCGCATGCCCACTTTTAATATATAATAAAGATGATATTTTGCATTTCATGACAAAATAATCAGAGAATATTTTCATTTGTAAGAATTGCTCTTTTGTGTATATGTAGAAAATGTTATTGTTTTTCAGGCTGTTTTTAGTTCATATTTCTATATTGAATAGAACGGAAAATATGTAGTTTTTTTCCTGAAAGTGTGCAACTTTAAAGACTTAGGGCCATTTAAATTCCAGCTGCAGGAGGCTCTCGACAATTTAAAAGTCAGTATTTTAAAGGTTAAAGCACAGGTACATTCCATGAACTTGAATTCACATCATTCAGTTAATGTCATTTAATTAATGAGATTATATATTGCATTTTTTACTGTTCGAGAGACTATGAACTTAATAGGAAATATATAATCACATCATCTCACAAACCTGAAGACTGCAGATGAAATTGTGAAACAAATTACCCAGAAATTTGATATCCTTGGAATCAGTTATCCATAAATATTAATTTTTCATGTTGCTCAAAACTCAGTCTTCTTTACTTAAGTGTTAAATTCTCACCCTTGGAGTTCTAGTAGTATCCACATAATCATACTTCACATTGATTCATCATCATTGGTCAGCAGAATTCCATTTCTTGACACAAGTTTGTGTATCGTGAGCACCAAACCTGATAAACAATTAATGTAAAATGATCTAAAATGTGGTAATGACTCAGAAATGTTTCATCATATAAAAGAAGTAATGAACTTAATTTTTTCACAGGAATCAAGCAGTGACATTTTCCAGTCTGACAATTCTAGTCGGGGTGGAATTGGCTCATCCCCTGCAAGAGGCAGAGGAGGACATGGACGTGGCAGTGGATTTGGCAAGGTTGCTTCAAATGTGGGGCAAGATAATTTTTGTGGAGTACAAGATGCTTCTAATAGAGGGCCTGGAAGTTTTGGCAGTACTCATTTGCCACAAGAACAGAATGTTGGTGGTGGTTTCAGAGACCAGAAGCCTGGCCTTGGTACAGGTGGAGATTTTGGTGGCTATGGAATGTCACAGCAAGATCATGGTGCAAAGTCAGGAGGGTCTGAACCTCCAGGAAGCTTTGGGGACCATGGTGTTGGTCAACGATCAGTAATTGGTGGGGCCAGCACTGTGGGTCATGATGGGTTTGGTGCCCAGCATGGTTTTGGATCTTCATCTGCACCTAATCAGGACTCCAAGAGTGGACCTGCATTTGGAGGTTCAGTACCATCAATACAAGACCCAAAAATGCTTCAGTGTGGACCAAATAGAGGATTAAGTGATTTTGGAAGTACTGCTTCTCAACCAGACTGTTCTGTTTTAGGTGGTAACTTTGGTGTTCCTCCACCATCTCTGGTACAGCAAGACTTGAAAGGGATGCCAGCAGCATTGAACCAGGGGTCAGGAGATTTTGGAGACTCTCCAGTACCGCAGAAACCATCAAATATGGTGAGTCCTACTCATTCCCAGCAGTTGACATTGGCACCAAAATCCTCTGGAGATGAGAAGACTATTACTGAAGGAGAGATACAGTCAGATGAGAAAGATAAGTCAAACAACACAGGGAAACTAGATTTCACTAAGAATGCTGCAGATGGAATTCCTGGATTAGATCTTCTTGCTGAGCGGGACAAACAGAACGATGCCAAATCTACAGCAGAAGAAAGAGAGCTGTCAGTTGGTCATGATATAGATGAGAGAAATCCTGATGTGTCTTTGAATCCTGGTGGCTTTATTGGACCTGTACCAGCACCCACTTCCACTGAGCAACAAAATGATCAGGGACTTGGTAGGCAAGGGTTTGGGACAAGCAGACCACCCAGTATAATGCCTTTTCAGCAATCAAATATACAAGGTTTTGGCCCTGACAGCAAAGGTCCCTTGAATAACCAAGGTTTCCAACCTGGAAGTCAGAATTCTCCAAATGTACAAGGGCCCTTTAATCAAGGATCAAATATTCCGAATCTTGGGATTGGAGGAAATAAGAATGTCAGTAATAATGAAAACCAGCCAAATCCACAGAACTTTGGTCCAGGAGCTCAAGGTCCAAATCAGTCATATGGGATAGGAAATCAAGGCCCAAATCAGTCTTTTGGTCCAGGATTTCAAGGGCCAAACCAGTCATTCAACCCAGGAAATCAAGGCTTCAACCAATCAGTGGGCCCAGGAAATCAAGAATCAATAAATCCACAAGGATTTGGACCACAAAACAGCATGGGATCCCGCAGATTTGGTTCAGATGGAAATCAAGGTTTTGGTCCAGGAAATCAATCGCACAGTTTTGGACCAGGAAATCGAGGTTATGGGCCAAAGAACCAAAGTTCTTCAGGAATGGGAATTCACAGCAATAACCAGGGCTTTGGATCCAACAATTTTGGCCCTCAAAATAACCAGTGTTTTGGCCCTGATCGATTTGGAGGTGCTCCAGGGCCTCAGCCATGGGGTGATGGTTTGGATGGCTGTAACAGAGGAGGATGGAACCAAGGCCCATCTCGTTTTGATGGACCAGGAAAGGATAATTCACAAGGCATGATGGATAATTTCCAGGGACCTAGGGACAGTTTTCAAGATATGAGGGATAATTTTCAAGGGCAACGTGATAATTTTCTAGGACCTATGGATCGACCACAAGGACCTAGAGATAATTTCCAGGGTCCAAGGGATAATTTTTTTGGTTCAAGAGACAGTTTCCATGGGCCACGAGATAATTATCAGGGTCTAAGAGATGGATATCAAGGACCAAGGGATGGTGGATTCCCAGGGCCAAGAGATAATTTTCCTGGTCCAGGTGACAGATTTCTTGGGCCCAGGGATAATTTTGGAGGGCCTAGGGAAGCTTTCCAAGGGCCTCGTGATAATTTTCAGGGTCCAAAAGACAGATTCTCAGGGCCACCATTTGGAGACTTTGGGCATCCAGGAGAATCAGAATTTGGTCGTGGAGGATCACATGATTTCCCTCCTCCCCAAGACTTCCAGCAGGAAGGAGGCCGTGGAGGACCCCAAGATCACGGATTTGAATATGGCAGAGGTCGTGGGGGCAGAGGAAGAGCACGGGGGAGAGGTGGCTTTGGACCCCAATCTTCTGAGAGAAGCCCTGGAGATGAGCTCAGTTGGCAGCGAGGTGGTGGAAGAGGCAGCAGCAGATTTGGATCAGGAGCAGATGACCAGAGACTGCAGCAGCCAGATCTTGGTCTGTCAGCACAGGTAAAATTTTTAGTTCTGTTATTTTAATTGATGGCATTTAATTCTAGTATAAGAGTATAATTGAAGTATGTGTTAATATTATATTCTATCATCCTGTTGCACTGATGTATCACTTGCTCATTTATTTTTGTCTCCAAGGCAACCTAAAATCATTCAGAATCTCTCTTTTATTTACTGTGACATTAAAATCAATTTAATTGCTAACATGTTACGGCCTTCAGGCAGTTGTTCATGTTCTGAAACCATCTCAGTGCACTAGATCATAAGTCAGTGTATTTCATGCTATTGCATATTGTTGTTCACAATACGTAGCTGATTCCAAAAGTAAGGTCTCCAAAGCGTTGGGTAATTTTTCGTGCGGCTGTTGGCAACCCTGTTGCATTCGTTGCTTCCCCACTCCCCCCAATACCACCAAGCATGCGCGCACGTAGCTAGGACGCTCAGTCTTGGCACGGTTGCTGTTGGAAATGGAGCTCCCGATTACTAAAACTGCGAAGTGTGAGATTCGCGCAGTTGTTCGGTTTTTGAATGCAAAAGGGACTAAACCAATTGAAATTCATCGTCAATTGGTGGAAGTGTATGGCGAGTCGTGCATGGACATAAAGAACGTCCGCAAGTGGTGTAGGGAGTTTGAATCTGGTCGTACTGCAATACACGACGAAAAAAGAACTGGGAGACCGTCAATTTCTGACGAGACAGTCGCGAAGATTGAGCGAGTCATGCGTCAGAATAGGCCCATCACACTCGATGATCTCAGCATTTCGGTTCCCGAGGTTTCCCGAACCACCATTTATCGGGTTTTGACAGAGAAGTTGAATTATCGGAAGGTGTGCGCAAGATGGGTCCCGCGAATGCTCACGGAAGACCACAAACGGCAGAGAGTTGACTCTTCCCCTGAATTTCTTCGCCGCTATGCTGACGAAAAGGACAACTTCTTGATTTCAATTGTCACAATCTACGAAACCTGGGCGTACTACTTCACACCTGAGACAAAACAACAATCACGTCAGTGGCGGCATTCCTCTTCGCCTAAACCTCGAAAATTCAAGCAAACACAGTCTGCCGGTAAAGTCATGGCAACTGTGTTTTGNGATAACGCTCGCCCCCATGCTGCCCGACAAACCGTCGCTCAACTGCAACAGTTTGGATGGAACATCATCACCCATCCACCCTATAGTCCGGACTTGGCGCCCAGTGACTACCATCTCTTTCCAAAGTTGAAAGAACATTTGTCTGGAAAGCGCTTCAACAATGACGATGAGGTGAAAGCTGAGGTTCGAAGTTTCCTGAACAGCATGGAGGTGAACTGGTATGACATGGGCATACAAAAACTGCCACTGCGCCTACAAAAATGCATCGACCGAAATGGCGATTATGTAGAGAAATAAGTACATGTTCAAGATTCAACTGATGTATCCAAAATTGAAAATAAATGTTTATTTTATATTTTCAAACATAGGAGACCTTACATTTGGAATTACCCTCGTATAATGTGTTAGTTTGAAAATAAAAAATCTCTCTCTTTCTTCCACTTTCTTTTTTGCAGCACCCATGATTGTGCCCCCTTTATATGTTTGTTCTCACTAGTTGGGTGTATGTCTCTTACATTGTTCTTGGACACATTTTAGTGTGAACAACGATAATGGCATGGAATACACTGACTTATGATCAGTGCAGTGTGACAGTTTCAATAAGTCAATAATCGCCTGAAGATGGCCAAGTAGAGCCAAAACATGTAGCAATTGATGTGATTTTAATGTAATTTTAAATAAAAGAGAGATTGTGAACAGTTCTACATTGCATTAGAGACGGAAATGAGTGAGCACATATGTATGTATTAAACCACCTAATGTATAATGTATATAAATATGTGTGATATAAGAACCTACTGATAACCCTCCATGTTTCATGTTTTGGACCATTTTACACTATAATTAGGTGCCATTGGAAGTTTTACATTCGTTCTCACAATCCGTAAAATTCAGATACAGTTAAAAGTACAGTAATTTTTTGAAAGATATACAGGGTGTCCCAGGAGGAATGTGCCAAACTTAGGGAGGGTGTTCCTTATGTTAAAGTATTTCGATATAACCCAAAACACATATGTCCAAAGTTGAACGGTTACGGAGTTAATGGCCAGAGAAGTGTGAAACTTTGACCGGTGTTACACACTTGTTGATTACAAAATACATATTAAAACTGGCAGGAATATGTGGTTTCTGTAATGTTAATAATGTACGTAACATCAAACTAACTTGTGAATGACATGAAGTCATTAAATTGAACTATAAAAAACTTGCACTCCCTGTTATATTTGTCGTTAGGGTTCCAAGCGCTATACATGACACATGAATGACAAGCACTGACATAACATTGCTGACTGCACATTCTGGTATGCGATTGTATGCGGCTAGTATGAGCCGTCATCACCACACTCAAGGACAAATGTAGGTCAGACAAGCCAGCTGACAGGTACAGTGCGTGGACTCGCCAGAAGACCTCACTTTTCTCGGGCCATTATCTCCATATCCGTTCAACTTTGGACATAGGTGTTTTGGTTATATCGGCATACTATAACATAAAGAACACCCTCCCGAAGTTTGGCACATTCCTCCTGGGACACCCTGTATACTGTGTATCCTCAAGCCCTTGAGTTCCATATCTTGAGATATGAATTTATTTGAGATGGATTGTTATTACATTTCTAGTCATTGTGTTAATTGGCAAAGAGAAGGAACCTTATAATGAAGCTAAACTTGTGTAAAACATCTCTAAGGGTACAAGGTCCTATTGGAAAGTTCCTGAACTGTTGTTGTAACTGCCTCAGTGGAAGAAGATGAGAGAGGAGGCCAAGGTTGCACTTCCGCAAGCCTATTGCATCAAACTGCCATGTGACACTACTCTGTGAACATGCATTGGTTTTACACAAGTTCTTTTTTGACTTTATGTTTTGCTTTGTCTGTGAATTCCCCTGGGAGTAGGGTGGCTGTGTCATGAAGCCCTCATCTAGTGCTGTGATCAAGAATGGTGGAGCTATACCTCCACTTTCCCATATGTCTTTATGGCGTAGTGCTTAATTAATTAAGCACAGGGAGAGCTTCATCGTTTTTGTATACGAGGGGGGACCCAGAAATAACCGGAAGCGACCTGTTGCGCGCGCATGCTTTGTAGTTACAAGTTGTGCTGCTAGGTGGTGTTAGCTGGGGGTCTCCCGCGACTGTTAGTGAGCTGGCGTCAGTCTGAGTTAAGTAGTTTGTCTGTGGTGCTCTGTTGTGTGCGTTCCTGTTTCAACCCTTTGGCGATTAGTGAGATGGCCAATCAGAAGGAACAAAGAGTGTGCGTGAAATTGATGAAGATTGTCGAAAGACCATTGACCAACTCTCTCAGGAAACGAACATCTCATGGAGCACGGTCCAGCGAATTTTAACCGAAGTTTTGCACATGAGACGGGTGTCTGCAAAATTTGTTCCTCGCTTGCTCGGAGATGACCAAAGAGAAAACCGTGTGAGTGTTTGCCGCGACTTGAAGAGTGAAGTGCAGTTTTCCCTAACAGAAAGCAAAATTTCACGTACACTCTTTGTTCCTTCTGGTCGGCCATCTCACTAATCGCCAAAGGGTTGAAACAGGAACGCACACAACAGAGCACCACAGACAAACCACTTAACTCAGACTGACGCCAGCTCACTAACAGTTGCGGGAGACCCCCAGCTAACATGACCTAGCAGCACAACTCGTAACTGCAAAGCATGCGCACGCAACAGGTCGTTTTTCCGGTTATTTTTGGGTCCCCCTTCGTATAGTTGTGATAGAATAGTTTCTTTATATAAGAAGTTAAAATTTCTTATCAAATAAATATGGTCAGTAATATCAAATTGATTTCTCAAATAAATAATGATACTTGAAATAAATTCTGGAAGAACTTAAGTATAAAAGCATCTGTGTTGCCACATGGAGTAGAATTTTGGTGTCTTCAGTAAATGCAGTCATTCACTAAAGTTGACATTTATGCAGTAATGATTTCAGGCAGAGAGAAAACTTGTTTATCCATTGGTGTTTCAACAACAGTTGCATAACATGAGGTACAAGTTCAACAGGGTCAAAAGTTTATTGCACTTACTACAGGTTATTTACTAAACTGAAGTGCACTGAATGAGGGAAAATAATACAGTGTTTATATTGGGCTTTGACTGGATCCAGAAAAGTGGGCATTCAACATGGGATTGCACTAAATGTGAGAACACTAAATCAAAATTTCACAGCTTATTGTACTTAACTTGTGATATAATATTTTATTAAACAGATTATCAAAGGCACTGACTCATTTGGAGAAGAGGGTGGTTTTCCTGCTGAAGATAGGAAATTTCCTCCAGACATTTCTGGTCCCCCTGAATCTGACCGTGCAAAATGGGACAGAGAAAGGGGCAGTCCATTCCACAGGGAGCCTTTTTCAAGGTATGTGTAAAAATACAGTGTGATCTTCCAACAAAGAGAGGTGAGACAATACGAGTAATGAAGGCCGGTCTCTGTGTGTACTGTGCTAGCTGAAAACATTGGCCTGGTTTACAGATTGCTCTTACCACTCTAAAGCTTACTGTGTCCCAGAATGAACAGAAGAAAGGTCAGCATTGACCAGTTATACCCACCAGTTGCCTCGCCTTCTCTATGCTGGAGGATAGTATTTGTTTCTGTATATTCCTGAAGTTTAATATTGATATCATGTGACAATTTTTATATGTTGAACTTGAAATAAATTATGTTAAGAAGTATTCTGTTTATAATGGATTGAAGTCGTATGTTGATTTTATGAATTAAGTTTCTTATCTAATCCTGAAAGTGTTTTGATACCATAGTGTGTTGTATTTTGGAACTTTGCTGTAATGGTATGCATTAAAAAGCTTCATGCTCTTTGTGTTTACTTACATGGTGTCAGTTCCAGTTGTTCTTATCCATCGAATTTCATTTGAATGATACAAGGTGAAGGTTATGCATGCAATAGCCACGTGTTTTTACTATCTTCAACTCAAGAAGTTGGTCTGGAGGTAATCCTGCCGACTTCTATTCAGGTGGTGCTTGGCTTGAATATCAGCTGTCCTGACTTGAAGTTTTTAAATGCTTTACTTAGTCTCTTCAGAATCTACCAGGATTAGGCCATGTCTGCTTCTATCCAACTCGTTTCCTGCTTGTCATTCATCTATCATTGTACCACCTGATGCTATAAAATCTCAGTACTGAAATAGTTATCACAGTGACTCAGTGCAGCTGTTGCTTCTGTTTTGGGGTGATGTCTCTAAATTGTGGCATTGTGTTCTAAATTCTGGCAGTGGCTCGGTAAACACATTTCTGTTCGTAAACAGCAGATTCTTAATAAACTGGAATAGATGATTTATGCTAGGGAACAACTCGGCATACACGTTCCTGGTGCACTGGATACATGTGCAAAAGTACGGGTATCGTTGAGAAACGGTGTTTTCTGTGTAGCCTGTGTCAAGGAGTTATAACTGGGACAGAGTATATAGCTCAGTTTGCAACACTGGACAAGGCGAAACCCGACAGAAAGTATAAGAGGCTTAAACTTGGCAGCGGTCACGCGTACAACTGTTCAAGTGACTAGACTGCCGTGGTAGCGAATACTACTAGAAATAGGGCATAATCTGCTGTACTGAGCCTGGATTGACAGAGGCCTTCTATATATATTGTACATAGAAATAGGAATTAAGATTAAATTTGCAAATATATGTAAATACTGAGAATGGACTTACTAATATGGACTATGACTGACAAATGACAGACCTGGCCTCTCGTGAGAGAAGGCGCCCCAAATGGACAGGACAGTAACTGTCATATAAGGAAAAAAAAAAAAATCTGGTTATGAGCCCCAGCTGGGGCTTGACACTGAGACAGACTGACTGACTGTCAGTCACAATGTGACTTGGACATCTCAATTCAGCTGTGAGATGGTGGCTAGCTGGCAGTGGCATGAGTGTGGAAGTTGAAGAAGTTGAAGAATCTCCACTGTTAGAAGCCATTAACAGGAAACGACTAGTGGAGACTGTAACACACTGAGAACACAAATGTGTATGTAACAGTGAACTATTAAAGTGATGACACTAAAATTGTAGTTATGAGTTCAGTGTATAAGTGTGCAGTAAATCTGATTACCAATCCAAACCCTGTGTATAGGGAACACTTCACGTGACAATATGTGGCATTTTACTGTATGAGCAGCATTTCAGAGCTACTTGCAGCCTCCATCTTGAAGGCAGAGTAACAGTTCTTTTCAATACTTGTGATTGCACAACCATGGTTTATGCATCATGATCACCAGTACGTACGAGGTCTGACAGTAAAGTTCATGATCTTGTCACCATGTGCTTGTCATGGCAGCAGTAGACAGAAATCTCAGTATGGTTTGATGACGTTGGCATATCAGCGTTTCACAGTTGTGTTGTTGTTGATCTATGGCAGTCTCTTTCTGAGTGGCATCTATTATTCTCTGAATGTGTTTTGGTGTGGTATCGTGAGAATGTCAGAGCTTGAATTAGAGCAATGAACAAACATTAAGTTTCTTGTTAAACTTGGCAAGAGTGGAAGCAAAATCAGAGAGATGTTAGTGCAAGTTTACGGGGATAATGCTATAAAGAAAACAGTAGTTTGCAAGCATGTGGTACGTTTTTCTGATGGAAGAGACAGTGTCACTTACAAAGAGAGATCAGGATGCCAGCAACGAGCAGAACTGAAAAAAAAACATTACAAAAGTTCATAAAATTTTACTCGAAAATCATCAGCTGACTGTCAGGAACATAGAGCAAACAAACATCTACAGAGAAACAATTAGGAAAATCTTAACTGAAGATCTTGACATGAGTAAGGTGTGTGCAGAAATGGTCCCAAAGGAGCTCACCAAAGAACAATGTCTGTGTTNTTAGAGCACTGTTTGTGAGGGAGTTTTTAGCTAGTAAACAAATAACTGCTGGTACACCCTCTCTATTCACAGGATCTAGCCCCCAGTGACTTCTTTCGGTTCCTGAAGATAAAAGAAATATTGAGAGGAAGGAATTTTGATGACATTGACCACACCAGGAGTAATACGACGGCAGCTCTGAAAACCATTCCACAAAACCAGTTCCAAAATTGTTTTGAAGGGTGGACTAGGCTCTGGCTTTGATGCATAGCTTCCCAAAGGGAGTACTTTGAAGGTGACCACAGTGATATTCAGCAGGGAGGTATGAAGCACTTTTACCACGATAAATACCGGAACTGTATTGTCAGACCATTTATGAAGGAAATGAATGAGGCCCAAAAAGGGCAAAAAGTGATGGTTGTGTGTTATAAACATTGACAAGTGCCAGTGCTCTTTTTACCTTGGGGATGACACCATGGATGTCTGGAACATCAGCAGTACAGCTAACTGCTGCATGATATAACCGCTTGAAAACAGGACAGTTGATATCAATTTGTAGCGCTATCTCAGTAAATAGTTCATAAATCAGCTGTTATTTGTGCCTTATTTGTTTGTCACCAAATGGAATGGTTTAGAAGTATCACTCCAGACTTGTATTCTGTAGGTGTTCAGTTTGAATCTCAGCTGTGGCAGTGGAACTCCTAACTGAGGTTATCCATGGTTTTTGGTAGTTCAAGTTAAATGCTCTGAGCTTGCTCCAGATCATAATCACTTCCTTCCAAATCCCTTCCAATTCATCAGTCCCACTGTTACCAGTCACTATATAGTCTCAATACTGAAAGCTTCATTAAATAACCATCCTAACTGACCTGTTTATCTCTCTGCAAGCAACAGCTCTGAAACTGAACAGTTTTGATTAGCTGGGCATTGTAGACCTATGATGAATTTTGGTGAGTTATAGCATTTCAAACGCTACTTTACTGGTGATCCTTTAGTCTTTCAGCAGATTTTAATAAACTTCCATATACTCGTATGATGCCTATATTGTATGTGTATTACGGTGTGCAAGTTTTGTTCAGTTTAACTTATTTTGGGACCAGTTGAACCTTCGTGTAAATTCTTATGTCCTGTGACACAGCTGTGATGAAACCTGAGTTCTTCCACTTCAGTTGTATGTATACATCTTTCCCATGTGCAAATTTTTTTCCCTTTAATGACTTGTACATGAAGGCCTAGTTAAAACTCTACATGTATCTTTCGAGTCCTTTGACAGATCTCGACAAAGCTGGATAAATGATGCTTCCGCCATACAAGTATTTTCATGTATGAGTTATTCAATTGAAAATTCATTGTAAGGCTTTCATCATGTGATACACTTTTGGGTGTATGTGCGATTTTGAGAAAACCACTAATATATTGTGTCATGTAGACCCATTCCTATGCAGTGGCCCGGAGACAACAGATGAATGCGGTTCTCTGCGTGGTGTGCTAAGTGATAATTGGATACAGCGGCAGAGGAACAGTGTTTTTGTCTATGTGGTTTATGCAGAGACGTTATAAGTGGGTGAAGTTGGGAGCTCCAGGGCAGTCAGAAGAGTAGGAGGTTGGTGAGAGTTGCTCGTCAGTCAGTGGACTGGAGTAAGTTGGTTGGTGTGAGATAATTAGAGGACTGCTGCAGTACTGTTGTTTTGAGCCATTGCTGTCAGAAACTGGTAGTTGAGGCCAGCGATAGTTCAGGAACCTGGAGTAAGGGGAACATCCACTGTTAGAAGCTGCTACCGAGCAACTGCTAGGGAAGACTGAAAAGACTTTATTTGTGCTGTGGTTACAGTGATCTTTGGAGTGTATAACTCAGACTGTCATATATAGTTATGTTCTGTAAGTGTTCAACGAATCTGGTCATAAATCCAAAACCTGTCTGTAGTCATGCTCATACATGTGACAGTATTAACAAGATCTTAAGAAAGTGAAGTCCAGCCTTGTGCTTGTTCTGCTGTGTACCGCATGTTCGTTCAATTACATGATGTTATATATGTGGTATGGTAACTTAATTTCTGGTCTGGCCACAATGTGCCTGCTGTTCTGCTAGGTGGAGTGCTATAGAATCTGCTGACTGATTGCATTCCTGTTCATTTCAAAGTAACACCGTGCCACAACCTGATATAATGTTTGCTAGACAGTGCAAGATGGGAGCCAGAATGGATGGCTGGGGTTTGCGTCCTGGCAGGGGCAAGAGATTTTTTACTTCACAGTATCCAGACCAGCTCTAGGACCCACCCAGCCTCCTATTCAGTGGGTATGAAGTGCTCTTTCCCCCTAGAGTAAGGCAGGTGGAGCATGAAGCTGGCCACTCACCCTCTTCTAGTGTCAAGGGCAAAATGGTAAAGCTGTACCTCTATTCCCCCATATGTCTCTGTGGTGTGGTGCTTAATTAATTTGGCACAGGGGCAGGTTTACCTTTTGCACAGTGTAAGACATGGGATGCTAGTCCTCAGGAAACATGCCACTATTTTCCAACCTTTGAATAACACAGATTGAGAACTGCTGATATACATTATACAGCTAGCAACAGATACTATAAATCATTTTGCATGTTAACTGTGGTACAGTAATTAGGAAGGAAGTAGTGTGATTGTTTCGTGTGTCAAACTCTCACATTTTTGCTGCGGTTGCAGGTTTGGTGATCAGCCACCCTCTCGTAAAAGTCTGGGTGGTGAAGAGGATTTAGGGAGTTCAAGATTTCCACCACCTGGAAATCGAGAAGATAGATTTGGGGATTTTCCTAAAGGTGGTTGGGGGAGGTCAGAGGAAAGAGGACAGTCGTGGGACCTTGGCAATCGATCTCGTGATTGGAACAGGGACTTCAAGCTAGAGCCTGCTACCGTGGTGGACTATGGCCACAGACCAGTTGCAGTTCCAGGACTAACAGGTAGATGAACAATAGTTTCTTTTGAATCACATTGAAATAATTTGCTTTTCAACAAACCCTGAGAACTTCACAGTTGTACTGCAGTATATCTTGGTGTTCTGTGGAACTACTCAGAGATAAAGCCAGAAATAATATTTTGCTGTTTTATCCTGAAATTGATTCATGGTTTTTAACTTTATTTCATTTTATTTTTGTGTTCTGAATGTCAGCAAAGCTGTTTTATTAAAGTATGAAGACATTGTTTTGAATGCAAATTGTGGGATGATCTTAGCTTATGAAACTTAAATCAGGATTCCTCTGCCTTAACCCAGAGTACAGTGTTCACCGTCTTACATTAAAGCAGTGCTGGTTTACTAAACCGTATTTTCGAAATCTCAGCAGTGTGTCCATCATTTGTTTTTCAAAATTCTGTCTGCTATTTCATTTGTTCTGTTATGATTTATTAATGATAGTTTAAAGTTTCTTAGTTATTTCCATTTTAGTTACAATCTCAGTCCTTAGGTTTTCCTTGGAAGTCCATGGTTTTGGTCATTGTTGTTTGTGTATCTGTATCTAGTCTCGAAGGATTAGTTAAAATCATGAAGGATCGTTACAAGTTGTGTGTCTGCTGTTAAAATTTGATTTAAAGTAGGTAAAGGTATCCCTGTAACAGGCACTGGAGCCCAACAGGGTTGTGAGATGTTGAGGTTCCCACATTTTCTAGACAATTGGCTCATAGATGGTGGTAAGGTTGTCAGTCTTACGCACTGGCTGCCATTTACCCCCAAGAATTTTCCTGGTACTCATTTCTTTTAGAGGCTGAGTCGACCCCAGGACCATATAATGCAGCTGGAATGATTAGGTTAATTGAAAAAATCCACCTCATAGGGATTTGTGACCTTCTGACTTGTGGCGTAGTGCCTCAACCAACTGCGCTACCGCATACCAAAGTCTCTGTTTCTTTATTTTTCCCACTTGGTTTTATCTCTCTCCATTGTTTCACTATTTGAGCCAAATATTAAATAGTAAAGGTAACAGACTTCAGTCTTACCTAGGTTATTCTAAATCGTTCTGTTATATTTTTTGACAGAACGATTTAGACTAACCCCTCGGTGTCTCCGCCTTATCGTGGTGAGGGGGTTTGAGTATGCCAAGGACCCTGAGAGCTATACCAGTGGTAGCATAGCTACTGGCATGGCCTCCATTGCTGGACAGGTCAAAGGGTAGGCATCAGACGAAGAGGGAGACCAAAAACCAAAGACTGATGCCAGAAGCAGAGTCATCTGCAGCGACTTGAAGCACAGAGCAAATGCTCGAGATGGTTCAAGTTCGTATAGCAACAGGCATGACCAGAGTGGTTTGAACGGCTGTTATACTGCGATGTGGAAAGCAAATGGAAAAACTACCACATTATCACTTTTCCTGGATAGTCTCTTTCCAAAAACAGAGATACCATGACAAAGCAAACCGGAGGGGCGGATAGAAGTGCACAGAAGACGAGGAAGAAAATGTAAGAAGATGCTGGATGACCTTGGGGACAGAATAGTATGTTTTAATTGAAGAAGAAAGATTGAGATCGCATTAAGTGGAGGAACTGTTTTGGAAGAGACTGTGAACCTGTCTTCTGACAGATTACTGATGAATGAATGAATTATATTTTTTGTTTTACCTGCAACATGATCATCTTTACGATGGGCTTTTATGGTATTTATCAGATCTTTCTCCGCATATCTGACTTCCAGTATAGCAAACAGTTTTCGTCTCTTCACCTTATTGTATGCCTTTTCACAGTCTATAGATGACTTAAGCTAGTATATCGTGTTCTTTTCTGTTTCATATAATTTGTTTTAAGATAAGAGCTGCACCAGTTGTCTCCTGGCCTCATCTAAACCCACACCGTTTTACTTGTGTGATGGATCGTAATAATTCCATTAACGCCTGTTAGAATTATTAGTCACACATTGCTGGGATGAGGTCAGAAACACAGTGATTTCTGATGATTACAAATATATTCTCCGATCTTCTGTTTGTTATGATTAGGGCTCGGATTTCTATGACATGTCATATTTTTATCCTGGCATCTTTTCACATGTATAATTAAATATAAACGCATTTCTGACTCTTGTGAACATGAAAATACGGTTTTTATTGGTCATATAAATGCATATTTGAACCATATTTTAGCTTTAGATCATATTTGGGCCCGAAGTGATATAAAATCATATTTTTGGTCATATTTTAGGCAAGTTTCACTTATTGCTCAGAAATATATTTGCAAGTATTGGCAACGATGTTACTTGGAACTTCATTTCTTAGAAATATTTGGCCTTGTGTAATGGGATTTGAAGGAATACTGTGCAGTGTGAAGGGTAACGGTTCTTGACCTGGCGTAGAATCAACCACTTTGAAAAGAGAAATTGCCACCTCTGCCTCTGCCTGTCTGTCTGTCTGTCTGTCTGTCTCTCTCTCTGCCTGTCTGTGTCTCTTTTTCTCCTCCACTGCAGTGATACCTGAAGTCCAGTTTGTTTCTTGCATATTGGTGAAAAATTTTTCCATCCACAAAGCGGTAAATTTCTACCCTCTCCCCGAAACCCGTCCAATACAGTACTGTATTCATAACTTCAGTTGTTCAGTATAGTTTCAAGATGCCTAAAGTCAAGTGCTCTAATAGCGTGAAGTTGCGTGGTTTTATTAAAGAGTTTGGTGACAAATATTTTAGTACTGACAGAGAAATTTTATTTTGCAAAATGTGTGAAGTGAAAGTTATGGCAGACAAACGTTTTACGGTGCAACAACACTGCAATACAGCTAAACATGGAAGCTGTGTAAACAGAGAAATTACCACGGAAAGTAGACAGCGATTGTTGTTTGAAAAGTCATCCTCCAGTTCACCGAAATCAGGAAATGCCTCCGAGTTTTCAAAGGATCTTTGTACTATGATGGTTTCATCAAATATTCCATTACATAAAGTAGATACACCTAGTTTCCGAAACTTCCTCGAAAAATATACAACTCATCCCATTCCGACCGAATCCACATTAAGAAAGAACTATCTCACTTCCTGCTACGATGTTACCATCAATAAAATAAGAAACTGTGTCGGAAATAATAAAATATGGGTGTCTATCGACGAAACTACCGACGTAAGTGGTAGATTTGTAGCGAATGTTGTTGTTGGTATACTGAAAGATGACCAGCCTCGAGATATATTCCTATTGGCATGTGAGGTGTTGGAAAAAGTGAATAATTCTTCCATTGCTGTTGTTTTCGACAATGCGATGAATTTGCTGTGGCCAAATAAGGTAGAACGAGAGAATGTGCTCCTCTTCTTAACGGATGCCGCTCCATATATGGTAAAGGCAGCAAAGGGACTTCAGGTACTGTATCCCAAAATGATTCATGCAACGTGTCTCGCACATGCTCTGCATAGGGTAGCAGAAGAGGTGCGAGAGAGCTACTTTGATGTAGATAAATTAATAGCAAATGGGAAGAAAATTTTTGTTAAGGCTCCACTTCGATTGCAGAAGTTTAAAGAAGAGGCTCCATCACTACCCCTTCCCCCTAAGCCTATTCTAACACGATGGGGGACTTGGCTCGATGCTGCAGATTATTATTGCACACACTACAGTGTGATTGAAAATATCTTCATGAAGTTTGACAGAGATGATTCATCTTCAGTTCGAACTGTACAAAATTTGTTTTCATCAACCACGTCAAGAAATCTAGCGTACATAAAATCAAATTTCAGTGTGATATCAAAATCCATCATTAGACTTGAAGCTGTGGGCATGCAACTGTGCAATGCATTACAAATTGTTAAGAAAGTTGAAAGTGAACTACATCAAGCACAGGGCGAAGTTGCTGTGAAAATTAGTGCAAAATTACAAAATGTGCTCCAACGAAATCCTGGATATTCAACACTGTGTACAATTTCTGACATTCTTTGTGGCAAAGAAGTTGAATTTGACAACAGTGAATTAGAACTTGATGCAAGTGATTTGACTTGTTTTAAGTATGCCCTTGTGACATCTTGCGACGTAGAAAGGAGTTTGTCCAAATACAAGGCCATTGTTAGTGACAATCGGAGGTCCTTCAAGTTTGAGAATTTGAAAATGCATGTTGTCATTCAGTGCAACTCTACGGAAAAGGAAGATTAAGGTACTGTACAAATTATTTACCTGCAACTATTAGCACACTTTACTTTAGTTTTCACGCTAAAATAAACAATACTCTCATTCATGTTTTCTCTTTACAGGGTTAGCATTGTGTTGTGATATGCTTCATGATTTAAAGACATTTATTCAGAAAAAATAACTTTGTACACTTTTCAATAAAACACCATTCAGCTTTTCTCTTTATGGGGTCAGCAATGTGCTGTGATCGATGCTTCANTGTGTTGTGATGGATGCTTCACGGCTTAAAGACATTTATTCAGGACAAAATAACTTTGTAAACTTCTTAATAAATTGCCATTCTTAGGAATTTTTGTTAAATATTTGCTTATTTTTTGTGGGCCATTCTGTCATTTTTTCCATTTTTAGGGCATAAATGCATGCATATTTTCAAAGTTTTTAGGTCATAGAAATCTGAGCCCTAGTTATGATGATGTAGATCATCTGGTGTATATAATGATTTGTCTACAGATCCTGTATTGTCAGTGGGGAAGTTCCCCGAACCAGTGCAGACATTTGACTATGGTCATGGTACTTCTTCACGACGGTCGGATATTCCTAACACAGGTATGTCTTCATTGTATGCTTGTACTGTAGAAATCTTCAGGCACACTCTCTTCTGTTGAGCAGACATTGCTTCAGGGAGGCACTTAAGTTTGCTGAAGGTGTTAATTGGTGTGCTGTAGGTGAACTAACTCCATATAGCTGAACCCTTCTTGATAACCCATCAGTTGCTCAACTACTCAAGATTATCCCAACATTTTATGGAACCCAAAGGTTCATTACTGTGTTCACAAGATCCCTCCACTGGTCCCTGTCCTAAGCCAGATCTATCAAGTCCATACCATCCCATCCTGTCTCTCCAAGATCTGTCATATTATCCTCTTATCTTTGTATAGGTCTTACTAGTGGTCTCCTAAACTTCAGTTTTCCAACTAAAAGCCTGTATGCATTCTCTCCTCTTTCATGTGTACTACATTCCCTACCTATCTCATCATTCTTATCTTGATCAATATAATTATAGCTGGCAAGGAGTACAAGTTATGAAGCTCCTCATTGTGCAGTTTCCTCCAACCTCCTATTATTTCATCCTTTTCTGGTCCAAACATTCTCCTCAGTGCCCTGTTCATAAACACCCTCAGTCTGTTCCCTCCCATAATGCCAGAGACCAAGTTTCACACCCATACAAAATCACAAGAAAAATATGAATGAACCAGTTACTTAAATAACTGATGTATTTGGTGTGCCCGTAATTCTTGACCCCTTCAATGAAAATTAAAATAAATGATAATTTGAATCTCTTTTAACATGATACCTCCTCTGCATTCGTGCGTTCTCTTTTTCAGGTAGCCTATATTTAGGTTGTTGAAGATGTCATTTTCATCTACCCCTTTATGTGGAGTCTTGTCTTTTTGTTCTAATTGTTCAGCTGGTTCATTCGTGTTCCCAACTATATGGCATCCATATGTGTACTGTGTCGGGTGTAGGCCCAAATTAATGTATAGATTGCAAACATACAGTTAATATTGGTGTTGATGTAGGAAGTCTTAAGTTATTCTACTGTGTAGTTATAAAATTAAGACGTGATATGTCTTATAACAACAATAAAATACAAGACAGTTTAAAAATAGTCACGTTCTTTTTAGTTACTATGGACAATGTTTGGAATAGTAATTGGATATAATGAACCCTTACAGATTCGTGACTGCAAGTAAGTATAACCATTTTACGAATTCACAGACCTTACAGTTCAGTAGAGCACATACAAGTCATCACAGCCTGATGTGTCTTCACCAGTCATGGTCTGGTAGCAGCTTCGAATGGTGGACGTTCCCCTTCCTTTGGATTCCCGAACTGTTCCTGGCCTCAGCTACCAGCTTCTAATGGCAATAGCTAACAGCTGATCCACGGCAGTCCTCTAAGTAACATACTAACCAACTCACATACCAACTTTTCGCTAGATCACCCACCAACTGACTCCGCTCCATTGACTGACTTACTCGCTCCTCACTAACTGACCTGCTTGTAACATCTTGGCATGAACTGTGTAGAAAACACCGTTCCTCTGTTACATTGCAATTGTTGCTTAGCGGTGGCATGACATATTCCATTGTTGTTTACACAGCCATCGACACAGACCATGCAGAAAAAACCATTCCCCTGTTGCTGTTTATAAGCCATTATATAATAAAAGCTATTGTGTAGGTGCTTATTTTGCTGTTGTTGCCTAGCAGTGGATCTACATGCCACAGTATGTATACCTGATGGGTAATCAGTGCATTGTTATCTGTCTGGATTTCAGTTTGAGACACTGGAGGAGTGTTATGTCATCCAGTCATTCAGTTTGAAAGGGAAAAATATATATTTCTGTCGATATGTTGCACTGTGTCTGTATGTTGTGTTAGTGCCTGTTAATAACTACTGTATGGGGCACATGGTGGCGTAGGTGGTTGAGTCACTGTGCCACAAGTCAGAAGGTTGTGGGTTCGATTTCTGATGAAGTCATTGCGTTTTTCAATTGACCTGATCCTTCCAGCCACACTATGACGCTGGGGTTGACTCAGCCCCTAACAGAAGTAAGTACCAGGAATCTTCCTGGGGGTAAGGGGCAGTCAGCATGTAATGCTGACAGCCTCGCTGCCATCTGTGAGTTGATTATCCGGAAAATGTGAGAGTTTTGATGTCTTGCAACCCCATGGGTCCCCACAGCCTGTTACTGGGATAACCTCCTTTTTTAATTACTGCTGGATGCCATTGGACCTAACCCTTTAACACTTTGCGGACCGGCAATTTAAATATTTAAATCACCGTGGGTACCGGCATTTCTAAACCTACTACCCTAGCTTGTTCACTGTTCACTTTAAAAATTAATATAAAATCTCCTAATCAATTTTATGAACTAAAATTTTTGGAGAACACTTACCAATGCTCCTGAAAGTGCTTGAGAGTGTGATATTTCTGGAAACATTCCCCTTTGTGAAGTGGAATTACACAGAACTTGCACATGTAGACAGTCATACTCCTTTTGTTGTGTACTGTGCAAACACGGCATCGCCTAGAAGGCTGCTTCCCCTTGGCATGTTCACTCTTCACAATTTTTACGAGGGTATGTTTCTGCATATCACCCGAGAGGCGCCCAGGGGGGTCAAAATGAGGCCTGCGTGGGGTGGGAGTAGACGGCCCCGGTCGTACTAAGACTGTGTCTGCCGCCACCGTGTGGTCTG